CTCTCTCTCTCCCTCCCTTCCTCTTTCTCAGTTTCTTTATCTGTTGTGTCTGTTGCATATGCCTGAGGAATATTTTGTTGAAATTTAAATTCGGCCTTTGAAAACAAAAGAGAGAAGGAGTATGCATAATGTAGGTATAATTTTCTTAAAGATTCAAACAATTGTTATTTTCCCGTTCTCCTGAAAAAAATGTTGCTTTTTGGTTTAGAGCAGATGAACAGCCTGGTAACACTATGTCACAACACGGTGAAATCGGGCGCCGATGATTATTTTTGGGGCATGTGGGGTTATTGGTATCATCCTAAAGCTTGTTCACTTGTCTCGTTTTTGATAAATGAAACACCCGACTATCTTAAATAGAAGTCAAAATATTTGCGATTTAAGGAAGTGGGATCGCCTAGTTTCAAAGTACAATATGCAAGAAAATAGCTACCAAAGTTTGGTGACTTCCTTAGCTTGAAAGACCTTGGAACCTGAAAATGTCCTTTCTTGTGCCTGTAATCAACGTTTTTCAGTAAGATTCCCACCGAAATGTATTTTGAATGGACATAAAAAGTGTTGAACCAAAACCAAATCCCATAAATTGCCAAAACCATCGGAAGATGCCGGTTTCTTTGATTTACTTATTTTGACGAGTGCCTGATTATACCACGATGTCTCATAATTCTGTAACTCTACAGTAAGACTAAACTTTTAGACTTGCTAAGAGTAAAACTTTACGTATGGCTGAAAGAAGAAGATACAAAAAAAGAAGAAACAGAAGAATAAGAACAAACAGAAAAAGAAGAAAGGGGAATTGGAGAAACAGAAGAAGAGGGCACAGAAAAAGAAGGAAAGGAAGAAAACGAGTTTTATTGCTAGTGTACTTTCTGTACAGATTCTAGCTCAGCGTCTGTGGTGTAGCAGTTAAGCTGCTCATCGCTGAATGCAAAAGGCCAGAGTTTGATATCCGAGTGGGAAGAATCTGTATTTGATATATTGGTCTTTCTGCTGGAATGGTGTATCCTCCTCTCAATCCGGGTTAGCCTTTACAGGCTTGGTCGAAACCCGCGTTATGAATAGTCTAAATTGTGTCGATGGGGGCGTTAAACTCCTACATTAAAAAGGTGCTAAAGTTGAGTTTGGAACATGTAGCCATAAACCTTTTTTTTAAAAATAAATTTACAACACGTTTTAAAACTATAATATTTTAAACTCCACAAAACGATGTTAACTAAATTTTCTATTTCTTTCTTGACCTTACTAGTATCAACGTTTGCCTACTTCACAATTCTTTTCAGTTCTGCTTAGAGAGGCACATTTCATCATAATTAACAAACAAACAAAAAACGAATTTTCGTTTGTGCAGCTCTTTTTTATTCCTAGCGCCACGGCCCGCAACAAGTCTTTTTACATGGTTCAAGGCTTCTCTGCGATAGCATCTCTCACAAACATCCTGTTTTTGAAATCTCATTTTGCAGTTCTTTCACCCCAAAGTGCTGTTTCGTCAGTTTTATTAGCACAGTGTCTCTTTAATTATGTTTTTTACATCAGCCCATGCTATATAAATGGTCACCGTCTGACTAGTCCAATCTGCATGTACAACGGAAGGGTAAGTGGATCTTTCATATTCCAAGACGTATTCAATGCCGCCTTCTTCTTCTTCTTCTCCATTTCCTTCTCCTTCTCCTTCTTCTCCATCTCCTTCTTCTTCTTCTTCTTCTCCTTCTCCTTCTCCTTCTCCTTCTCCTTCTCCTTCTTCTTCTTC